CTGATGGCCACGTGGTATAACAGGGTCCACAGTTGATTTGTAGTTGCCGGCCGCCTGGTCACTCGGTACGAACGCTGATGTTGAAAGATCGTACTTACCAAAAACAGTAACTGATCAGCACATGACTGAAGGCGTCAATCTCCGTTGTCTGTGCGGCAAGCATCGACTCTAAATAGACCAACCAAATGTGATTCTAAGGAATTCAGACTACTTACTTGGGGATTCTAATCGCCTGCAGGAATCACAATGTCAGCGCTTTTGCCTGACGAATGAGCCCAGATAGCTCTCGATAGTAAGTATCTTTCTCCGCCTCAGCTCGTCGGTGCGTAAGCCGACACTACAAACAGATACCGCTTTTTATGTCGAGAGGCATTGAGGTTGATTGAACTGGATAACCGGATGGCGCAAAGACGACTGTTCACTGGGATCAGATCCAACAAAGCGCGTTCAAATCTGGGGCTAAGTGCAACTCCCAGGTCATATATTCCAGGATTCATCGCTTTTGGGTCACCGGACGTACGGAGGGGAAATGTGAGTTCATCGGGCTGAGTTCAGCCCTGGCGTTCTGAGATGCATAACCACGCTTGGGTCTTGTATACGTGTTTCGGAGACATAACACACATCAATTTTAAAGGAGCATAAGGTTTCAGCAAGCATTGCCTGTTTGCCAATTTAACATAGAGTACGAACGTTAAAAGCTCCTATATAAAAAGGGTCTCGTGGATCTAGAAGGTGGACACAGAACTGTGCGGGCAGGTCGAGGAGGAGAGTTTCGTTTGAGGACCCACACCTTGAGCCTTTGACTCAAGAGCCTGACCCACAAGGCAGTGGGAGGATGCAGGGCTTTGTTCTGGGACACTGCCCCCCAGGCTCTGGCTCAAAAGTCTGACCCACAAAGCAAAGATGAGGTAGGCTTTCGTTTGCAAGCAGCTCCCGGAGTCGATAGTTCAATAATCTGACATGCACGGCCTGCCGGGGGTTGTCCTAATCTAAGGTCGCAGGGAATAAGGACTTTACTGTCTTATTCCGTATACGGCTGTGCACAGCAACACCGGACTCTGGTTTTGAAAGTATTTCGACCTAATTCAATAATGCGCCGGTGGTCACAATTAGTGGGTGGGCAATCGGAGTGTGCAGTTTTTAGAGTCAACCTTCTCAAATCCGTCCTTCCTCAGGGGAAGGCAGCATGGCTGCTTCCATAAATATGGACATGCTGGTCGCCTGGGGGAAACACCTTACTGCCTTCACACTCCTGTCGCAGAGGACAGTACGACTTTACCCCCAGACCGCCCCGTACCACGATTGCTCGTAGTGCGGGGTCTCGCTACTCTGGTCTGGCTGCTCCCCTTTGGCCTTCCTGGCATGGTTGCACCTTGTGGAACGAAGTTCCAGCCAGTGTAGCCCGCGGGATCGCTGCAGCACTCAAGCCCGACCATGCCAAGGTGGCAGCTTTAGGTCATTTGATGTTCAATCAGCTCATGAACATCAAATGACAGTTAACATTTATCAAGGTTTGTCTAGGGAACCAGACATTTCCATAATAAAAAAATTCGGAATGCGAGAAAAACAATATAAACCAGTCCTGCGATCCACTACACTGGGAGGCGCGAAACAAGGTCTCCCGAAGTATCTTATGAAATGAAAGGCGTTCAGCTGTAATGCCCTCCCGGTGCCTAGCTACCATTCCGACCGGGGGAAGCACGAGGACTGAGGTACTGCCCGGCTGCCCAAGCCTACACAGGGAAGTGGAGAAGCAGAAGTTGGGTTCGAACTACGGACCTTCCGGTCATTAAATTCGCGCTCTAACCACTTGGGTAATCTCTCCCACAAGGTGTGAAACTGTTTTAAAAAATTCATTTGGGTTCAGTTAATTGGTCAAAAATCTTAGCACGGAGTTCGCTACTTAAATCGACATTTCCGGTCGAAAAATTGGAAACTGTTGGATTCAGTGGTTTCACCAGCTACTTGATGTTCAGTTGTTTTTTCTATGCGAAGATGCGGCGTATCGGACAGCAAGGCACTGCAGGCAGTAGCTTCCTTACCACAAACTGAGTGAAGAAGCAATGTATGCCAGTGCCATCGAGGCCCTCTTATCATCTACGAGGACTTTTTGTGCTTTTCAAGTGTGAATTGCACACCAAACCGTGCAGTATATTCAGTACATTGTCTTTTTCCTCTAAGAGCATGAATAAGGGAAAGTATTATCTTCCGTGTACTTAATGTCTGAGCGAACACGTTGAGGCATTTCCGTAGCCGACGTTTCGCAGGTAGGTTAGGGAATTTCAAAAAGCACATGAAAAAGCGAATAGAACTGGTGAGAAAGAAGAGTCATGTCTTCAAGGAGAACGTGCTGAACCTGTGAAGGCTGCTCAAATGTCTCAAAGTAGAAATGTGATCTCGGCCCAGCTTGGCTTGCAACAGATCGGCGGCAGATCGGACCCAGCAAGGTAATGCCAGATAGCAGCTCGGACGCCGCAACCAGTTAATTGATGAGCTGACCTTTCCACGATATTTGCACGTCGTTTTAAAAGTTGTAATCGTTATTGGGGTGTCCTATTCAACCCGAACTGAAGTCCGGGTCGTTCATAGTGAGATCGCATTTAGGACTTATATTCTTCAAAAAGTGCAGGGTTCAAAGTACATGGCCACCTCAGTTTACTGCAAAGCCTTCGGATGTTTCAACGAATAGAGAGACGCGGCTCTGAAGCCTTATTACCCATAATCCGAAGCTCCATTGTTTCGGGAATTGAGATACGGTTAAACTATTTAGAACCAGTTAGCCTAAATCGCAGCCACTTAACCGTCAATGCTGCTTCTAAGTCCGTTTTTCCGTCACTAGAGTCGCCAAGAATCGAGTGGAAATTACTTTCATCATAGTAAAAACGTGCACATCTTGTGCCTGAAAATGAGCATGAGAGCACTCTTGGGCGAACAGTGACCTAATGTGGCCGTATTCCGATACCGACAGTCGATGGAATTTGGTGCATTTAGTCTCTGGTTGAAAGTATCCCCAAATAAGTCGTAAAAATGTCTGTACAGTGTGCTTGCAGAAGAAAACCCATTCGGAAGATGACTACTAGACCACATTCCGTTATAAACCATGAAATTTCAGTGCTGCAGTATGTGGTGCATTTGTTCAATAAGCACAAAAGTGTAAATAACGTACTGTACGCCATCAGTTACATTCCTGAGTTGAGCAGACATCGCAAAACAAGAAGACATGCACCGCGCCGGGTCACATCACCGGCTGTAGCGTACCAGTCCAAAGTCCCGCGCTCGTCCGACAGTTCATTCACAAACAGATATAAGTTCCGTACGCGTGTCTACGAATAGAAAAAAAAAGGCTGGTAGACTCGGATCAGTTACTGACGCATCTGCTCAGCGAACTGAAATAAAATGACTAAACCCCACCACCTGAGCTACTGGGCCTGGTGGTTTGGATAAGATGCGTCACTGTAGACGAGTGAACACATTGTAATTGTGTGTTCATGGACGGGCAAGTGAACCTGTACACGAAGTGAAAAAAGTTTGGTGGAAGTAATGTAGCATCTTGTGAAGGAATTTATGTGTGCGAATGAGTTGTGATCGTTAACGCAGAGGAAAAATAGAGGCAGTTTTTGAAATCACTGGGGCTGTTACGATAACCCCTGTACGCCTGACCCATTCCGGAACAGATGGCACAACAGAAACCCCACCTCAGGAGGCCTGAAATTGCCAAAGGAAGAGCCCACTGCATGTCTGCATACAGTGGTGACGTGACAGCTTTAACAGGAGGTAAATTTTGGGGGTGGAATCCTGGACACCTATGGATGTATATGGGCACTAACGGCCGAATTGTTTCATTGTGCACGCTGTCGGTTTCATGCCATGTGCTCGCCATATCGTTTCTTGTGCGCCTTTAGATCTGGTCAGATTTGTCCCCATTCCTTTTTATGCAACTCAAGGCGCATGTTCCTTGTGCATCTTCCTTCGGCATGACTAACCTGGCGCCAAAACCTGACACTTTCCCCGCAACACAGCCGACAACCCGCGATGGCTTCTCGCCAAGCATGGGTTTTAATTTTTTCCCATGGGGGTCCAGCCGTCTGCTTTTTTTCAAAGCTGCACTGTTCTTACCATATTTTCTGTGTCTATATTTTCTGCTGCATTGCTGAGTAATTGGCGTCAGTCATAAATTTATTCGGACAAAACCATTAGGAAAATGCCTGACGGCATGCCAGCCACCACCTCTAAGAAACATTTTCGCTACCGCTATAAGGCTTTACGCAAACCTCATGATTCCCCGTAACATACTTCAAGCTTAATGTCCATTTTAGTTTGTCTTAACCAAGGCTTTGCCTATCTGATTAAAATACGACAATCACGTACCGTGGTGAAGAACTTTCTCGAGCGTATTTCAACTGTGACGTCAAATTTGTCGCGTCAGCAAGCATCAACGTGGGAAGTGAATCAGCCATCTGAGACATGGTAGGCTACAACACGATGGCATTAATTTACTACCCTGAAGAGTGGATGTCCGTCATGCTGAAGCCATGGGATCCGGACAGTGTAGCATGCAGATTTAGAAGCCAGGAATGTAGTTCGCCAGAACGGCCCTCGTGACTATTGAATACTACCACTACTACATCAGTCGCCTCCTGAAGCGGATCCTCCAGTAATTCTTGCGAAATTTGGGACAAATCGAGCAGAAATCCTAGTGCATTTTGAAATCTTTCTGCGCATGCGCATTAGCTAACATTTTCGGCGGATGACTCCACTCATCACCTGCGTCCTGTGCCGGCCCGTCTGTTCTGAAAATGACAATTTTTGCAATTAGTGCAGGGAATGTATTTGCAGTTTAAACTACCACCGACAACAAAATCAAACCATTTTCAATTGAATTGCCAATTTATTCGATTTTTCATCTCTTAGCCAAACCGCGTTGTATCATCCGTTATGCTGACAATGAAATTTCCCACGTTTATTCTGTCCCATTTGTAACCCCCGCCCCACTTTTGTGTTTAGTGTGTATATATGAACTGACGCTTGTTTGTCCTTACCCCTTCACCCATTAGGCCTTGAGGTCATCCGACCATTTGTGTACGACTTTGCACGTGTCACTGTCGCACGTGGGAGCCTGTTTGCTCCCTTGCTTTGTACTTTTGTAGTCCACATGGACTGTTTGTTTTGGACGCGTATCTATATAATTTGTGAATCACTCTTACCCTAATACTACCGTATAGGAACCCAGCTCCGACTTTGCCTTGCCTACCCGGAGGTTCTGGTATTACGTGTCACTCGAAGATACCGTTCGACCGTTACACGCGGACTAGGAAAATACCAACGATCCACCCAAAAACGGAGCCTTTGGGAAGGCCACTCGGCATGCCCATCTTGAATACTAGGCAATATCGTATCCCGGTTTAAATGTTTGACCACAAATTTCCCTAATACGGCTTCCTCACCTGCAGGGGTGACCAGCCAGACGGTTGGAAACGACAGTAAACCGCAGCAAATTGCCTACAGGATCTCGGAAAATTAGGTGAAACCTCTTCGACTGGGTGAAGCCCGGTCTACATAACGTCACCTAAAATGAGGACTTCGAAATATTTTTCCTTGCTGGCACTCAGGACTGTATTTTAAGATTTGCATGCCGAGTTTCACTCTCGTATGCCTTCCTTTAAAAGCCGAGAGGACGATAACTTGCTGCCATGTAGCGTCCAACATCAGCAATGTGGTCATCCGATCGTTCACTGATAGGGCATTATCAAATGCAAGGGCCTGCGCTAAGCTATGCAAGGTGCTTGACCACAGTCGCGCGTAACTCGACAGGTTTTGCTCCTGTGAACATTGAGTTTTGGCAGTCAGACTGAAAGAAGTCGAGGCGCCGTAAATGAGCTGTTTTCTTATGCGGAGCACCCTGATCGCAAACTGCATTGGGGCATGTCGGCCATACCTCAGAATAAGTCACGCACGGGAAGAGAACGGAGTACCGAAGGTAGCTAACTTTGTGAGGGGGTGAGCGAGAAATAGCCCATTTAGTGTCGAAATGGACGCCACATTTCAGGTGACGGCCACAGCCGATTTCGGAACACGTAAACCTACATTTCTTGAATCCCAAACGCAGCTGAGCTGCAAAACTTCGTCAAACAACAAATCAGCTCATTGGATATCAAGCAATACCTCCACGAGAGCTGGATCCGTCTCCAAAGCTATCAGCATCACAAGTTGGTCTCCAGAACATGTTAAAGTCTCCAGCAATCGGCTTACCTTTGAAGGAACTGCCACGTGGGAATTCGCGCCGAACTGTCCGGGTTATCAATTCATCCTTGTGTACCACAAAGTCCTTTGAAATCCGCTCAGCAACTTTTTTTGCATTTGGAAAATGCGTGTACGCGGTGAGAGCAACGCATGAGGGAGAGGGCGACGGTATTGTGAATAGCAGGAAGCCTCATTTTCTGATGATGGAGATTAAATGAACGATGCGCGTTTACTGGTTTGGGTAATTCTGGCTAGAGAAAACCGCTGAAACATAAGACTGGTCTACGTGCAGAGACATTATGACGCAGAAGTATTGCCAGAGCACGTGAGGGACTGTTTCTATCCCTCAAAAAACGATGTCCTTCACGAGGCTCTGCGGAAGTCGAAGTAAGCCAGTGCAATTATGGCCCGGCACTGCTAACCCCAATTTGACGGCACATCCGCTACCATCCACTCCCTTCTTCTTGATGGTGCCCTCTCGCCCACTCATTCCCTTACCCGCAACTGGATGCAGTTATCCACACGATGCTCTCAGCTGCAAAAATTTACAAATGGAGTAAACATTCCAATCCAAAATGTTGCATTTTGTTGCTTAGGTACTGAACCTAAACACCGTCCTAGTCTATATTCATATTTTTGCAGCTCGCCAAATTTCATTGTTCACTCAAGCAACCATTTCCCTGGTTAAATCTTGTGGAACAAATTCCCAGCATCGCCGAGACTCCGTGATGCCTAAATGGGGCTTAAAAGTTTGGACTGGTACTCTCAACTCAAAATCCCGATTGCTTTAGCCCATCAGAGAACGCCATATCTTTCGAAAATCCTATTCCATTGTGCAAATAATGAGCGCCCCTACAACTGCGAACAAACTCATTCACTGACACCAGCCACCACCTGGACGCGTTTAGATATAACAATTTCGGTAAGTTTCATTCTGTAACCTTCAAAATGTGCTCATTTTCTGTGTATTTTGTGCGTTAGCACCAACTCCCTCCACCAAGGATATTTTACGTCCGGTTCCACTCCAACATGGAAAGCAGTGCGTACAGTTTCACGGCCAAGGCCACTCATCGCCAACAACGATTTTTCAGCTTCGGTTGGACTCAACCGGCTTCATCATTGAAATAGTCGGAACCCACGCCACATTCGTGTTGTATTTTAGTTTCCACAGCTGCAGCGACTTTTAACGTAATAAGTGGTTCTGGTCGATTGTCCTTTCCTACTTTCTGTGTTGCTGCCCGTCGCGTTTAGGCTGTACCGACCCGATTATGCTTCAACTGGCATGTTCTTTACAAGTTGGAAAATGAACCTTTTGTTATTACCATTTATCCGTATTGCTGATTACTCCATTTAGTCATCCTCACTTAGGCCGTTTATGACCCTGGCCACAAGCTTGACGTTCATCGGTGATTTTCAGCTTAGCTGATATTGACCTGCCAGACCGTCGCAATTCTGCTGCTTCACCAGATCTGTTGTTCTGGTCTACCGTTTTTTGCATGTGCCAGTCACGATGTCTCCTTTTGCCCTCTTGTTTTACTTTTGCCCACCACCTTCAACTCTGATCTGATGTTGCCTCAGCTTGATGTGTTCCCCAAGAGAAAGATAGAGTCCCAGTACCATGAGGGTTTAAGCTTTAAAAAGTCAATATCTGATAATGCCTACTGTTTATGACATTGTCCCTTTTCACGCAAACACCGGTGCCCACAATTCCCGCGATTCGTGCTCTTATTCTGACTGTAAGAGTACGATCAGGGTTTACGTTATGCTTCACCAGTTCTGAATACACATTATTATTGTAGACGGTAAATAAATCTGCACGTTCAAAGGACGGTGGAGAGTAAGCATCCAGGAACTTTCAGATGGGTGTGAAGTTAAGAAAGCGCTACATGAAAATACCACCGCGCAGATAATAATTCCATCTGCAAACAGCACGATCAAAGGGTGTATCAAGAATGTTGGAAACCTGGGAATGAGGCATAGGTTCTGCCGCTTAAGGACATGGTGTTTGGCCATGTGTAGGCTCATACGCAGTGGTAAACTAATGGTCACATAAGATGCGGGAGCGAAGATACGACGAATTTAATGTACCCCATAAAGTCAGGTGCAAAGGATGCAGTACCATCATTGTGACTTCGTCCTTTGATTTGTGGGTGGCCTCGAAATCGGACGGCATTTAGGTAATGATAGACATGGAAACCGGCCCTGAAGCTGTAGGCACAGCTCCATGGAGCGGGCAGGTGTTGTTGATTATGGATCAACTTCATGGTTTGCAGACAGTAGTGGACACAAGGTGTACGAAAGCATAGCTAACAGAAATGCTAAAGTTTAGTCGAAGGGCCAAGGTGATGAGCGAAAGTAAATGAAGCAGGTGGTTAGCTTAACCTCTGGAAAGACAAAGGAGCGGTAGGTGATCAGCTTGAGATTACGTGAATGTTTTTTGCCATTGATGTGAAGCTAACACTGATCAGATGTTACGTTGACGGTTTCGTCGTTGCCGGGGGGTGCTAATCAGGGAAGAACTATGAATTATGTAACCTTAATGCGCGGTACAGTAAATCAGGAATGCGTGCGTTTGTGCCTGGCCCAGGAGAACGGGTAACCGGTTAGAGGATTCCTGAAGGAGAGCCTGTTTTCGCGGAAGTGGTACCGGAAAATCGCCACAGGCTGCTGCGCAGAGTGCTGGACGTGAGTACGCGTCTCTAGCATACTGCAAGTTTAAAAATATTAAATGGACATTAAATGGTAAATATAGGACTAGCTGATATTGCGAGCCGGGGAGATAATAATGTTTTTTATCCAATCTGGGGTCCAGAGTGGTGGCTTATAATAGGGCAAATTACGCATGCTACGATAAGTGGACTGCAATGCTTGATCAAAGTAGCCTCTTAGGTGGGCCGGGCAGCTATGGAGTCAGAATGCAATGAGATAAAGTGAGGTACGGGCCAATGCGTGGTCCCTGCTCAGTGCCGAGTATTTCCCCGGATGTCCCCAATTCCAGTTGCAGAGAGGGTTTTATGTTTTCCTACAGGTATTGGAAACTTAGGGTGAAAACGTATAAGAGTTTTAAACTTATGGGTAAGCCTTTAATCGCATGTATGTGTTGTATACAAGGAATATGCGACACACTTGTAGCCTAGAGAAGGGATAGGTTGCTTCGCAGAACAAGGCGAACCCAAAGAGCAGTGCCGATTATACTTGGTTCACACAGCTACTTTGCAAGCAAGAAAGCCTTTTGGTAAACTGCGTTTCACGCCACGGAGATTGGAGAGAATCTATGAATGCACGCTGGTTCAGACTTGAACCAGGGACATACACTCAGTATTGCGTATATTTTTCTGTATTTCCATTGAGAGGCCGGCCTGAGAACCCCGACCTCTAATGTTTGGATTGGGAAACGTCTGTATCTAGGAGCTTGACATTCGTTCGAACCTATCCCCATATGTGCTACCAGATTTAGAAAATGGTAACACAGTCGGCAAACCTATTCTAAGACCATAGACGAACAAATTGAGCCGCGCAATTTATATTCGGCCGAAAGAAATGCTGAGTAGTCCACACGGCCGCTTTCACAGGAAGTAGGTGTAAAACTGCAAACAACCGGTAGAAGCGGGTGTGGAATTTTGCATCAAACAGCCTCGAAATACATGGTAGGAGAACACGCAAACGAAAACATAGTCGAGAGACCTAATAACACGATGGAAATTTTGATCAAGCCCACGTGCTTGGCAAACGACATTTAAATAGGCCACTGCGCTTTTTCGTCGTGGGGGATGTCACATAGAGAATACTCTCTTCCACGACGTAGTAGATTATTCCATTATACTGCCTCTTAGTGTCTGGCAGCGGTAAGACTGAAAGCGCAAGTTCTGGTAGAATTTGGCAAAGGTAGCAATGCAAACTTTAAGTGCCGATTTCCCACTCTCTAGCCTCGAATCGCAGCCGCCTGTCTCGAAAAGCAATCATTTTCCAGCCCTTAAACACACACCTAAAAGTTATTACAATCTCTGCCTGGGGCGAAGGAAGCTTTTATGTGATGTTGCAACATTGGTTGGCTAAAATCAACTTGATCAACAGCGTGTTCTTCCTAGCATAATTCACAAGATACAACGGAATGCCCTTCAGTTTTACAACAAACTGGCATGAATTTTTAAAGCAATTAACGCGATCTACGCAAAGCTTACTTGTAGCAACAATTGTCAAGCAAACACTGTTCACAGGAAGGTCGCTTCTGTATCTTTTGCACCCACAGGGGCCGTGAAGATTCCAGGATGTTTAGGGAATTAAATCAATTGTAAAACCATTTTGAAGTTTCGTACATTGTAAGAAAATCTCCTTTTTCCGCAATTTGCAATTTCTCGTTGTATTAGGCCACGTACTCACAGTCGATGATATTTATCGACCTTGAAGATCCGTAGAAAAATGAACGCCTTTTGGGCAAATTTCTCATTGTAAGTGAGAGGGACCGGTTTTAAGATGTCTAGATACCTAAGGCCTTTTTGGCAATGCCCCCCTGATGTCTTCTGATCTTTTCTCATCACGCTTGCCAAGAGCCTTCGCTGAGTCTCCACCGAACGACATACGGACGCACTTTCCGTCATTCAGAGGAAGGCGACTATCGTTTTGCAGCATCTGTACTAAATTGGGGGACTAGCATCGGAACTTTAGGATTTCACAGTCGGCAAAAAATATATATGTATTTGAAAAAACGATCAGGTAGTCGTTGACATAGATTGAAAATGGATGTGGTCTCAAAACGTAAAATTGAGGAACTCTGATGGAGACCGGTGCCGGAGATGATATCTGAAGGACTTCTTAATCACATGTAGGATTTCCCCAAAGACCCGAGTTTGTGAGCAGCGGGACCTGCGGGACTAGATCAAATGCTTTTGAGAAGTCAAGAAATATGGCATCGTATATGAGTTCCTCGTCCTGAAGTACCTGGGATAGGCCCGAGAACGTTC